CCCCGTCCCTGCACGCCCCGGGGCGCTGCTTGCACCCCCGTGGCTGTGCATCCCGGTGGGCACTTCCCTGCGCGCCCCTGGGTGCCCCTTGCACCCCCTTCCTTTGCACCCCAGTGTCCCCACCCATGCTACTCGTCCCCGCCCCCCCGTGACTGTGTGGCCCCGTGGGCACCCCCCGTGCACCCCGTCCCTGCACGCCCCGGGGCGCTGCTTGCACCCCCGTGGCTGTGCATCCCGGTGGGCACTTCCCTGCGCGCCCCTGGGTGCCCCTTGCACCCCCTTCCTTTGCACCCCAGTGTCCCCACCCATGCTACTCGTCCCTGCACCCCCACGATTACGCATCCCCGTGGGCACCCCCCGTGCACCCCGTCCCTGCACCGCTCCCCCCCGGGTGCCCTTTGCACCCCGGTGATCATGCACTCCTGTGGGCTCTTCTCTGTGCACCCCCTCCCTGCAGCCCCCCCTGATGCCACTTGCACCCCCGTGATTGTGCATCCCGGTGGCTAGTTCCCCGCGCGCCCCTGGGTGCCCCTTGCACCCGCTTCCTTTGCACCCCGATGCCCTTTGCACCCTGATGCCCCCACCTGCGGTACAAACTGCCCCTGCACCCGCGGGGGACCCCTGTGCACCCGTGTTGCACATCCTGATGGGCTCCTGGGTGCCCCCTGCCTCCGCACCCCCGGGCTGCCCCTTGCACCCCGTGCCCATGCATGCCACCGGGCACCGTTCGGTGCAGCCTGCCCTGTGCACCCCCGGGAGCGCCCTCTCCCCCGTTTGCTCCGGCAGGCATCTGGGTGCCCCCTGCACCCCAGGGGGGACCCTGGCACCCCCTGCACCCAGATAGACACGTCCCGGTGCACCCTGCTCATTGCACTCTCTGCCCTGTGCACCCTGATGGTGCTCAGTGCCTCATGCACCCCCGTGGGTGCCCCTTGCACCCCGACGGCCACCCCGTGCATCCCCGCAGGCAACCCCTGGGCAAACTTACCCAGCGCCCCAACAGGTCCCTGGGTGCCCCCTGTCCCATGCAATGGGTGCGGGCCCCCCGATGGGCCCCCACCCTGCACACCCCAACAAGCACCCCTTGTGTGTCCTTCCCAGGTGTGTCCCAACCCCCCCTGTGCCGCCCCCGGGCACCGCCGCTCGGGTCCTGGCCGGGGTCCCCTCCGCAGGGGCAGCTGTGAGGGCTGGGTGCAGAGCACCCCTGGGTGCCATGCTGCTGTGGGGACACGTCTGTCCCCGGGACCGCAGGCTACGGGTTGGCCTGGCGGGTTCCAGCCACCGCTGGTTCTCTGTGCACACGCAGGGGGTTGTCCCCATGCCCCGTCCCACCTTGGGGACCCCGGTGTGGCAGAGGATGGCAGCGGTCACCGTGCCAGGGACAGGGTGCCCGGAGGCGCCTCTGAGGGCGCACGGCCCCACGTACACAGTGGGGCTGTGCAGGGGACCCTCGGGTGCACGTGGGTCGTCCGCCAGGTCCCCGCTGCCTGTGGGTGCTGCCCTGGGCCCTGGTACCCGGGCGGGGACGGCGCGCATCGGGGTGCCACGGGGGCCCAGGAGCAGGCACAGTGTCCCTGGGCCAGGACGAGGGAGGGGAAGGGGAGGTCTGGGGCGGCCCCGCTGCTCCCGGCAGCCCCGGGGGAGTGCAGGGGCTCTGCCCGGCTCATGGCGGGGCTGGATGTGACGTTAAAATATGACAACCACCACCCGTGCTGCGCTTTGCTGCATTCTGCCTTTTTAATGCCTGTTGCAAACCGCCGGGCACCGCACGATGACAG